TTGTTTGGTTTGGTTCATTTTTTGGAAGGAGGGAACAGGGGAAAGTAGCGACAATGATGAAGATCCTGTGGTCAACGATCTGATTGATGAGGAATTCGAAAAGGGGACAGGCCCGAAGAAGTTTTCGTACAAGATATTGGCTCAATGGACAAATGATTTTAACGAGGGAGAGAAGCTTGGAGAGGGAGGGTTTGGTGGGGTTTACAAAGGCTTCGTAAAAGATTTGAACTCATATGTTGCTGTTAAGAGGGTATCAAGTGGGTCTAGACAGGGACTGAAGGAGTACGCAGCAGAAGTAAGGATCATCAGTCGACTTAGGCATCGAAATCTGGTGCAACTCATTGGTTGGTGCCACGAAAAGAGAGAACTCCTACTTGTTTACGAGTTCATGTCTAATGGAAGCTTAGATTCCCATTTGTTCAAAGGAAAAAGCTTGTTATGTTGGGAGGCAAGGTACAGAATTGCTCAAGGCTTGGCGTCCGGATTGTTCTATCTACACGAAGAATGGGAACAATGTGTGTTGCACAGAGATATCAAATCCAGCAACATTATGTTGGATTCGAATTTCAACGCCAAACTGGGAGATTTCGGGTTGGCTCGACTTGTTGACCACGGGAAACAATCACAAACCACTGTTCTGGCTGGAACCATGGGCTACATGGCTCCTGAATGTGTCACCACAGGAAAGGCTAGCAAGGAAACAGATGTTTACAGTTTTGGAGTTGTTGCTTTGGAGATAGCTTGTGGGAGAAAACCCATTGATCCCAAGTTGGGAACAAATAAAATCAACATGGTAGAGTGGGTTTGGGAGCTTTATGGACAAGGGAAAGTCATTGAAGCAGCTGACCCAAAATTGTGTGGGGATTTTGATGAGAAACAAATAGAGTGCTTGTTGATTGTTGGGTTGTGGTGTGCTCATCCAGATTACAAGATCAGGCCTTCGACACAACAAATCATTCAAGTTCTTAGTTTAGAAGTTGCGCCGCCTATTCTTCCATCAAAGATGCCAGTAGCCAGCTACTTTTCTCCTCCGGTATCATTTTCAATCTTGTCCGGTGATACTGGTTCTGAAAGAGGTCAAACAGAGTCTTTAAGTAATGGTTACAACACCAATTCATCACAGTTCATCTCATCTTCCGCTTCTAATTCTTCTCCATCAGCTTCACTTTTGTACACAAATTAAATTTATACTTAACAATTGTGTTGTACCTATATTCAACAATATATAATTTATATTTATATTTGAATTCTTTAAGTTCAACATGAAAAGTTGTGGTTTGAATTGGTAAAATAGGGCTGCTGCGGTACTATTTTAAATGACAGTTTGATCTGTAAAGCTTACCTACTCTCTCGGAAATATTCTCTCTCCCAAAAGAAATTAGAAATGCCAAAAATCAAAAACTAAAATGGTCCAAGCCAAAATTGATTTTTGCGGCTTTTCTGGCTCGGTTTGATTCACCAATTTATTAGTTCAAATGTCCATTCCTAATTTAGGTGTTCCAAGCTCAAGCTCAACTTAAAGGATCGTCACTCAAGGTAGGTACAGGCCCAAAATAAGAAAAACTAGCATTGGCGGGCAAAACATTTCTTAACTAAAACTGACCTTCTAGATTTATAGAGGTACACGTGAATTTGACTTAACCCGCATTTGTAAATATAAAAAAAAAAAGAACCCGTCTAGCTCTCAACTAGTGATTTCGTGCCCACGTGTCAAAACAAGTATAGCCGCGTGACTATACTATTTTTCATATTAAAAAAAACCGTAGTATAGCCAAGCGGCTATACTCTTGAAGTATATTATATTTAAAGCTGTGCAGCTATACTATTTGTTAAAAATAATTTATGAGTATTAAACGTAAAAATAATAAATTCTTTATACGGGTAATAACTCTAGAAAAGTAAAACTCAAAAGGGGAAAAATAATTGGGGAAAAACGATTAAAAAATTCGGGAAAAACAATTATAAAAACAAAAACACACTATCTATGAAAAGATTGTAGCTGTGAAAGAAATTGACGGAATTTGTGACTTGTCCTTGAATTGCTACAATTATGAAACTACAAAGGCACAATTGACTAAATTAAAACTACATGAACGAAAAATGAAAAATAGATAGAACTAACGAAAAGTGACTTTTAACCATGAAACATACCCAAAAATATTTGGGTGACTCATCATTGCAAGATAGAGAAGTAAAAAGAACTTGGCCAAAAACACAAATTGACCAAGAAAAGAAGACCTCGAATATTCATAAAAAAACTAATTTGTTATAAACAATAAAATCATCTATTGCATAATGCAAATATTGGAATAAATAAAAAAGATGTACATCAGAGTTATTAAATCAGACCTATTCATAGAGTGTTTTGTTTCAATCTAATCAATTCATTATTTACAAGCTCTAACCAGTCACACTGAAAAGAGGTCAAACATGCATGTCAAGGAAAAAGCAACAGAAGAAACCCAAAACTTTCCAAATAATTATGCAGCAATATCCAAACCAGTTTCTTCTTTGTTGCAGTCCTTCTTCCATCCCAAGTGTGGAATTATCCTTTGTTGTAGTCCTACATGACCCGTCTATTCATCAACTTCAACCCGTCAACCACGCAAAAGAAATATTTGAGCAAAGAATACATAGATACAAGAAATTCACATAGTCGCCGTCCCCGTGGTCTCCACTCCCATCCCATGCCATCACTACCAGCACCTTCTTGCGCAGGAAGGGAATACTGTACTAGTCAGTACCTTGAAGTCTTTCTGTTTGTTTTGGTGCAATGTCCTCATGTGTTGTAGATGATACTGACGTATGATTGGAGATCACGGTGACGTATGATTGGATAAGGTTTCTTCTACAATACTCTGGTTTGGATAGGTCCCGTCGGTCCCGTAGCCACCCACCTCCCTCACACAGCAACCCACTCAATTCACACATCTCCACCCAATGGCAACCCCCCTCTCTCTTTCCGTACCTCACAGATCGACGACACCCAAGCCATTTGGGTGGGTGTCCCTTCAATTATACCAAGTCAGTTACTTGATTATGTTTGAACAAGGGATTGAATGTAATTGTAATATAATGAGAATTGTTGGAGTCTCAGAATGATGGAGTTGAAGAAGACGGGACAGAGGGTGAAGATTTCATTTTGTTTTACAGGAGTTGAAATGACATTTATGTCCCTATAAACTTGATGTATCGATACACAGAA